GTATTGGCACAAAACATCAATAAGAAATAAAAGAGATAATAAAATAAGAAGAAGAAAGAGAATAAAGAAGAAATAAAAGATAAAAAGAAATAAGAAATAGAAAAGAAATAAAATGGAAGGTAAAAGTGATAAATCATAAAGAATAAAAAGATAATAAACACAAAAGAAATGAAATAAGAATATAATGGTTATTTCTCTTTTATAATTAATATGTTCAAATTATTATCATATTTTATTTTATCAAATGTTCATATATTTTATCAAATATTCATTACAATTATTTTATTCAATATGTTATTTCTTCTATTATTATTATATGTTAAACATTACTATTTGTATATTCTAAATATTATTTCCAATTAATTTTGATATTATATTCATTACTTTATTGTATTAAAATAACTCTATAGATGAATATAATGAAATATTAAATAGAAATGATTTACAACTAATTCAATAAAATGAATAATAATAATAAAATATTCTTATTCATTATATAAACTGTATTTTTATAACATCATTAAACAATATGAATATTAACACTGTTAATATTGAAAGAATTAATATAAATAATACCAACAATATGATTTTTATAGAAACAAATGTACTTTTGTTAAAAGAAATTCAATTGAAATAATTCTCTCAATATTAACCAATGAAATGTGTAATTATGAATATGAATATATTTGAATTAAAAATAAAATAATGATTTTATTACATTATTTCTTGTTTTTTTTATAAAATAATAAAATGAGTCATAAACAAACATTTTTATATTCATAAAGAAACATTTAATTTATCTTTCATTAATAAATAAAATAAAATGAGTAGAATATAATCAAAAAGTATTATTCAAATATATTTAAATAATTAAATAACAAAGAAACAAAGAGATAAAAAATAAAATGAATAAATAAAAGAAATATTAACAAAAGATAGAATAGTAATAAGACTGTTATATTATTGATGATTTAAATAAATAAAACACCAATATCAAAGAAAAAAATAAACAATAAATGAAGTTAATAAATACAAAAGAAATACAACAAATTACTTTATTATAAAAGAGAAATAATACAAAAATGAAGAATATTAAAATTTATTTTAGATAAATAAAAGAAATAAAAAAACTGTTTAAAGATGAATTATTCATTTGTATTTAAATGAATTGATAATTCATTAATAAGTTTTGATATTGACAATCTTTTTGCTGAAATAGGATTCCAACAATTTGTAATGATAAGATATAACCAATCAGGTATTTGAGAGATAATTGGTAAACGATTTCCTTTAGTAACAAAATCTGCAATAGACCATGGATATTTAAATGTAGTTTTATCATACGCAGGACCCCATTTCATAATTTCATACATTGTAATTGCAAATGAATAAATATCAGCAGGATATTTATAATGTTTTTTATCTAATACTTCTGGTGCCATATAAGCAGGAGTTCCAATACCTTTAGTAAAAGTCATATTAGTCATTAATTGATTTACATTTCTAGAAGCACCAAAATCAGTTAATTTACAATTAATAAGAACATTATCATCAATTGAAGTAACTAAAAAGTTATCAGGTTTAATATCACGATGTAAAATACCATTTCCATGAAGATATTCAATTCCTTTTGCACCATCAATAATAAATTTAATTTTTAATTTTAAAGATAAACAACCATTTGGATTTTTATTAATTAAGTCTTGAATACTACCATAAGGACAAAATTCATTTACCATACAAATTTTATTTGGAATAAAAACTGCTCCATAAAAATGAACAAGATATTCATTTCTAAATTTATCTAACATCGCTACTTCTTTCTCAAATTCTTTTATTTCATTTGAATTTATTCCATTTTGTTTCATTTTTTTTATTGCAACTGTTTTTCCTCTAAATGTTCCTTTATAAACAACTCCAAATGAACCTTCTCCAATTTGTTTTTCTTCTTTTAATTCATCATAATCTAAATGACTAGTAATTTCAGTTTTAATATTTAAATTAATTTTACAATCAAATTGTTTACCTTTTTTCATATCTAAAGCAACAAGAAGAATTGATTCATTTAAAGAACAAGTACATAATGGTTTAATAAAAATTTCAAATTCAACAGCTTTTCCTTTTTTTAATGTAATTAATTGTGGATTAGTTCTAATTTCATATTTATCTAATTGATCTTTAGTAGAAAATTGAATTTTTAATAATTTACTTTTTTTATTTCCAATACAAATAAGATCTCTTGTTTCTTTATTAACAGGAATAAAAGGATCATCTTTTTCAAGACTAAAATCAATTTCTTTTTTATTAATTACAATACCACATTCTTCATTTAAAACAATAAAATTAATATTTGATTTATTCATATTAAATTCACAAATAGTTGCTTCTTTAATCTTTTTTTGTTGTTGTTTTCTTATTATTAATATAATTAAGAAACAACTAAACATAAAAATAATAATAAATAGAAATAGTATTATAATTGGAATACCAATTATAATAAATAGATTTAAATGATAAATACATTCTGTTCCATCAAATGATACTTCATAATTATTTCCTAAACATTCTATACATTTATTATTTTTACTTTCAATACATCTATTTAATAATTTAAAATTAATACATTTTCCTTCTTTTAATATAAATTCTTCATCACATGAAAGACATTCAATTGAATTAGAACATTTTGTACAATTTTCTTGACATTTATAACATTTTTTATTAAAATTATAATATCCTTCATTACAAATTTCACATCCATATTTATTCATTACTAAACAATTTAATAATGTAGAATTATGTAAACATTTAATATTTCCTTCATTTGATTCTGCTAAATAATATCCTTTTTCAAAATTACAACTTAAACAATGTTCAGGTGATTTATAACATGTTTCACATTTTTCTTGACATAAATAACAATTTTTATCTTTCCAATAATATCCATCTTTACAAATAGCACATCCTTCACTTGGTAAAAATACTTTACATTTATCTTTTAAATCACCTACTGATATACATGTATTTGTAAGTGTATTTAATGTATATCCTGTATAACATGTTGTACAATTAGTTGATGTTAAAATACATTCTTTACAATTAGAAGTACATTGTAAACATTTTCCTTTATTTAAATAAAATCCAATAGAACATCTTGAACATCCTGAAGTCGTCATAATTGTACATTCATCAATAATTGAATTATTTGAACAAATAATATTTCCAAGAGTATCATATCCAAGTTTTAATTTATTACATTTACTACATTCATTTCTTTCTTTTAAATATAAACAATTTGTTGGTGTTGTTATTTTTTGACAACTTCCATCATTAATTAATTCATATCCAAATTCACATTCAATACATTTATTCTTTGAAATTGTTTTACAATGTATTTCTCTTTTTTCTTTACATTCATTATTAATTAAAATATAATTTTCTTGACATTCTATACATCCATTTTCTCCTTTTAAACATATTTTACATTGTTTATCTTCACATCTTTTACATTTTCCTTCTAAAATAAAATATCCATCTTTACATTTACTACAAACATTATTTGTTTTATTAATACATTCATTTGAATATTCTAAACATTTCCCATTCATTTCATTATATTTTAATTGACATGTTTGACATATTTCTTTTTTATTACATTCATTACATTCTGGTAAACATGTTAAACATTTTGGTGGATTATTTATTGAATCAAAACTAAAGTGATTTTCACATGCAACACATCTTCCATATTTATAAAGTAAACAATTTGTAGTAGTAGTTATAGTTGTTGTAATTCTTATTCTATTTTTCTTTTGAATATTATTCATTAATTTTGTTGATAGTGTTGATATTGGATAATATCCCATTGGAATATATTCTGTTTTATTCAATAAATAAAATGATATTTCTGTTGTTCTTTTTAACTTTGAACATCCTATTGAATCAGAAATTGAATTAAAACATTGAACACATCCAATATTTAATTCTTCATTTTTACATTGTTCTTTATTAATAATTTGTTTACATATTCCATTTCTTAAATAATATCCTTCTTTACAATTAATACAATAACTAGAATTAATACATTTTATACAATTTGTATCACATTCTATACATTTAGATTGTTTATTTGATATTCCATTACAATTAATACATGTTTTTAAATCTTTTGATATTCCAAATCCATTATAACAATTTATACATATTAATTTATTTATATCAAATGTTCCTGTTTCTGTATAATTACATGTTATACAATTTGGTATTGTTAAATCACATAAACTATATGTTTGTTCACTTGATTTATATGAATTTAATGAAATTCCAATACATTTTCCTTCTTTAAGAATTGCTCCATCATTACATTTTGTACATATTAATTGATTTCCTTCATTTTGACATTGAGTACAATTACTAATACTATCACTACATTTTATACATTTATCTTCTTTTGAATAATATTCTTCTTCACAAACAGAACATGTATTTGTTGTTGTTGAACAAATTTTACAATGTTCTTTTGTTGAACATTTTAAACATTTTGTTTCTTTTAAATAATGTCCTTCAACACATTCAGTACAAATACTTTCATTTAAACATTTATTACAATTTGATAAAACACTATTACATTCTTTACATTTCCCTTCTTTTACATAATAACCTTCATTACATAATGTACATTTCTCTTCTGTTGATGAACATAATATACATTCATTAATATCTGAACATTTATAACATTTATTTCCTTTTAAATAATAATTAATAGAACATTTCTCACATTTTTCTATATCTGAACATTGTCCACAATGTGCTATTTTACATTTTGAACATTCTCCATCTGAATTAACTACTCCAACATTACATTTTGTACATTTTGCTTCCATTTGATTACAATCAGTACAATTAGTAATTGTATTACATTGAAAACATTCTTTTCCAAGTGGATATGTTCCATATTTACATTTTAAACATTTATTATTTAAACACATTTCACAATTTGAATTAATTGTAGTACAAGAAATACATTTATTTGTTGTTGTTAAATAATGTGTTGTTTTACATCCTGTACACAGAGCACTTGTTCTTGAACATGTAGTACAATTTTCATTAATATTTGAACATGGTGAACATATTTTTCCATTTGGATAATAACCTTCTTCACATTCAATTACTGTTCCATCTTGATGACATGTTTTACAATGTTCTTTTGTTGTACATGAAATACATTTCTCTTCATTTAAATAATAATTTGTTGAACATGTTGTACAATGAGTAGAATCACTACAATCAATACATGAATTATTTGTTAATGTTAAACATAATTCACATTTTGTTTTTGTTTTTAATCCATACTTAATTCCACATTTATTACATTCAAAGGTTGTTGTTGAACATGATACACAATTATTTATTGCTTTTGTACATAATTCACATTCAAATGAAGGTGTTAATGTATATGATGTTTCACATATTGAACAATTTCCATTAATTGAACAATTTTGACAATGTAATGTACCTAATATACATGGTTTACATTCATATCCATTTTGTTCTTCATTTATTATTTGTTTATAATACTCTTGACATTTATAACATACTTTCTCATTTCCAAGACATTTTGAACATCCTGGTATATTACTACATGGATTACATTTTCCATTTTCATAATAATATCCTTCAATACATGAATAACATGTTCCTTTAGAAGTACATTCTTTACAATTAGGAATTGAATTATTACATGAAATACATTTTCCATCTTCTAAGTAATGAGTTTTTTGACATCCCAAACAATATTTTTGTGATGAAGAGCAACTTATACAATTATCAATCTTATCACAAGATTGACATGTTTTATTTGTTTCTAAATAATATCCAGATTTACAACTTAAACATATTCCTGTCTCATCACATTCCCAACAATTACTCACTTTTAAATCACATTTCTTACATGTTTCTGATTCTTTATAATCCCATATATCACATTTTAAACATTTAGTATCAGTACTTGAACATAATCCACATCCTTCTATATTACATGATGTACATGAATTTGAAGATAATGTATAATTTTTAATACATTGTTGACAATATCCATTTCTATTACATGTTTCACAATATGGAATAGTACATACTTTACAAATATTTGTTGTTTCATCTAAATAAAATCCTTCTTTACAACTTGTACAAGTAATTCCATTAGCAGAAAGACAACCAAGTTGTTGTTCATATCTACTACAAACACCATTATTAATATAATAATTAATATAACATTTTGTACATTCTACTCCTGAATTTTCAACACAATTTTGAATCTTATGACATAATGAATTTTCAAAGTAATATCCACCTAAACATTCAGTACATGTTCTAATTGATTCTTCTGTTGTAAGTGTATTAATACATTTAGAACATCCTGTTATTGTTGTACATTTTTTACAATCACCATCTGGATAATATCCTGTTCTACATGCTTTACAAATTGGTTGTCCTGTTGTTGATGTTGTAACAACAGAACAATTATCAATATATTGATCTTTTAATACACAAATATCATTTTTTAAATAATAATTAGAAGTACATGTTGTACATTTATTTGTTATATATTTTTCACATCGAATATCACCATGATTTATACATCTTCCATTTATTAAAACTTCATGACATGGATTTTGATTTATTATTGGATAACATCGATTTTCAATTAATACACGATCATCGTTACATTTCAAACAATAACTATTTGATGCTTTCTCACAATGTTCAGATTTTGCATCAACACAATTATTATTACGATCAAATATATACCCTTCTTTACAATTAATACATTGAGATGAACTAACACACCCTTCTATTCCACAATTGTCATTACATTTAACACATGAATTTCCATTAAACCAATATCCAGGTGAACATAACACACATGAAGTTGATGTTGTTGTCCAAGAACATTGAAGACATAATGGATATTTATTTTGACAAGTCGTACAAATTCCGTTTGATAAATATGAATTTTCTAAACAAGAAAAACAAGAATTTGCATCACATAATTTACAATTTCTTGTTGAACATGAAACACATTTCTTACCTGACAAATAATATCCATCTTGACATTTAGTACAAGTATTTGAATTAGAACAAGAAAGACAATGAGAAGAACATTCTATTTGATTATTTATTAAATGAAAAGAGATAAAACAAAACGAAATTAAATGAAAAGAAAAAAAGTCAAAACGAAATTAAATGAAATATAACAAACGTTTACATTCTCCATTTGAATAATAATACCCTGTATTTTCTTCACAACTCAAACATTGATTATCGTTACATTGTTTACAATGTGAATATTTCTCAGAACATATAACACATTTTCCTCCAAGTAATGTATATTGTCCTGATGACCCATTTGAACATTTATAACACATATTTGATGTACATTCAAGACAATTATTTCCCAAAGTAGCTGTATTTTTTAAACATGAATTACATTTCCCATTATTAGCTATATAAAATCCATTAGAACACGATTGACATTGATTATTTGAACAGAGTAAACAATTTGGATCAAAATTATTACATGGTTGACATATTTTTGAGTTCATTTGATTTCCACTTGGACAATCAGTACATCCACTCTCTTCATCACATTTTCGACAATTTTTTCCAAATGTTGTTGAACATTCTATTTTTGTATCAATCTTTTTTATTATTTATTTTTAACTAATAAACAACAAACCTTTACATTCATTATTTACTAAATACTTTGTTCCATTACACTCACTACAAAAGTCAGATTGGAACATACAATCAAAACACGTTGAGTCACACCCTATAATTTGTTATTTATTTTATTGTTTTAAATAACATTAAATAAAACATACTTTTACAAAAACGACCATTTTTGTAACACCCAGTATTACAACGAACCATGAAAGTATGATAATAACATCCTGGGTCATGTGAAGCTAAAACCTTAAGAATACTAATTAAAAGCAATGATAAAATCATTGTTTATATTAAATATATTTTAGAGTTTAAATCAAAAGTATTTGACAGTTTTAATTTATTATTAACCTCTTTTAATTTTCTTATGACTTTTATGTGGGAAACAGAACTAATTCTTTTTTAACATGTCTCATTGTATTAAAAAAGGAAACTTATTTTTATTTTGATGTTTTTTATTGTTCTTTCTTTTTGACTTATTTTCTATTTTATGAATGTAAATTAATATTGATTTATATTTCATCGAGAAGAATCGAAATTGATAATTATTGAAATATCGTTGATTTAAAGGTATAAAAATTTTAAGTAGTTTAAATGTTTTGAATCTTCGAGTTTGTTGTTTAACTCTCTTTCTTTGTTTTTAATAACTAAAAATATCTTTTATATATCTAATAACATCTTTTCTTTTTTAAATTGAAACTGATAACCAAAAAAACTTATCAAATTGTTTCAATATGTATCAAAATATTATAATATATTTATAAAAACGAATTATTCGATGAGATATATTTATTTGAATAAAACTATTCAATGATAAAAAGTTTTAATTTCTTAATTATTCTATTTTTTCAATTGTTTTAAAAACTCCATTATTTCAAAACAAATACATTTATTAAAAAATAAACGAAATGATAAATCTTTAGTAAAAATAGAAATGAAAGTCTTGTAGTCCAAAGTAAATTAATTTAAAAGTAAACAAAAGAAATGTACTACCTTTATTCTTATTCAACTATTGTACAACACAAAAAGGAAAAGATAAAACAAACTTAATACATCATAATTAAAAATTAGTTAATATCAAAACAAATAAGACTCTAAGTAATTTATGAGAATTTTCATTATTTTATTTTTATTACTTCCTTCAAAGATTATTGACTTTGTGAATAAAACAAAATGACAAAGAAATATTTGAAGCTATCAATAAGAAGAACCGAAGGTTGTAAAAAGAAAAACAAATCGTTGTAATATCAAAATAAATAAAAACGTTAATTACCAAAAAGACTTTAATACAATAAAAACAAAAAATAGAATCAAAAATTCAATAAAAAGGGTTTCTAACAATTATCTAAATGAAATAACTTAAATTAAATATTTATTTGTATCTTTATCATAATAAACAAAAAAAAAACAAAAGAACAATTGTACTTTAATCATTCTTCTTTATTATTTAATATTTCAGTAGAGTATTTATATTGTTTTGCTTTCATTTAAATAATTATTTAAACATTCTATTCTTTATAAAAACTTTATGTTTCAAAATAATTTAAATAAAGAAGTTAATTAAAATGATGTATAAAAGAGAATAAAACCTTCAAATAAAATAAGATAATTTAAAAAACATATAAATTTCTTTGAAATTTAAATTCCACTGTTTCATTTATTTTTATTTGAATTAATTTGTGTTTTTTATTACATAAAAAATAAATAAATTAAATTAATAAACAAAATTTAATTTATTAAAATGGTTTATGTTTAAACTTATTTAATGTGTAATTCAATCTATCAATAATTTTCTCATCCCCAGTTGATAATATTTGTTTATATTTTTCAACAAATGTACTTGAAGATACCATTTTTTGAATTTGTTCATTTTCTGTAATAAAAGAACAAATAAAACAAATAATTTTAAATAATACTTTAGAATCAACAGGAAGTGTTGATATTTGATTTTTTAATACATTCATAATTACATCATTTTGATAAATAGCACGTTGTCCAATAGGATTATTTTGAACAATAGATTGTAAAACCCACCAAACAGTAAAAAGAATATCTTCATTTTTTATTTCTAAAAGAAGTTTACCTAATTCATATTGACCATTCATTTTAATAAAATCATTTGCATTATCAATACTTTCTACCAATTCTTCAAGGTTATCTAATTCAACTTTAAGTTGCTCTTCACTTATTTCTGTCTTTTCACCTTTAGATTTTTGAGTTAAATACTTATCACTTTTCTCTAAGATTGAATACATTAGTTTAGCATCACTCTCAATTGAGTCCATTACCTTTTTTAACCATTCCATATCTTCTTTTGATGCTTTGGGTCTATTATCATCTCCTTTAAACCCATATGAAAGACAAAAATTTAATAATCCATCATTCATATTTTCAAAATCAACTTTTTTCGATGTTGATTCATTCCATATTTTTCTATCATGTTGGTTATCGTGTGAGTCAGACATTTAATGATTCATTTTAGTTGGTGGGGAGTATTTAAGTAAATAGGTATTAAAGTTAGTGACGTATTTGTACAAAGAAGGTACGTAGGTGCCACGTTTATTGAATTTTGAATAACAAAAATTAGTATTTTTTGTTATTTCATATGATTCTTTTTTTAGTATATACTAAATATAAATGAATCAATATGAAATAGAAGTATTTTTAGAAATCTATTTAATACACTTAAACCATGCAACAAGAAAATGGCAACTGTATAATTGTTACTCCTGAATATAACATGGAAAGTATTTTAGAAAGACTAAATAAAATTGAAAAAACACTTTCTACCTTACCAAAAACAATTGAGGATATTATTTCCTCTTGTTTGAATAAATATCTGATTATGCCTGAAGATTATGCTAGCTCTATGAAAAGGTTATCTCAAATGATTAATGAAAAGGAAGTATCTCAAAAATCTTCAAACGAAAAGAAAGGCATTAAAGAAGAAGAAGATCATCTAAAACAAAATAAAGAAGAAAGTAAAAGAAATTGTCCTTCTATAAGTTCAACTCTTGACGTTGGAATTAAAACAAATAAAGGTTTGGAGGAGTTATCAACTGATATAACTGATTCAACAAAACAAGGAAATATTACTCTAAATTCTGAATTAGTAACTAAACCAATAACTATTTTTGAAACTCTCCCAGAAAAATCTCAAACGTTTTTTGTTCAAGAAGACTTTGTTATTGTTTATAATGAAAACAAAGGTCTTGTTCGATTAAATGATGAAGAAGTTGTTTTTAATATTTGCGATTGTAATATTAATGATTTAAATGGGACTGATGCTGGTTCAATCCTTGTAGCTACTGATGAAAAACTATTTCTTATTAATAAAGGAGAAGTTGATAAATTTATTGGTTCATTTACTTCTGCATGTGAATTTAATAAACAAATTGTAACTGCATCAAAGAGAGGATTGAATTATAAAGTTAATGGTAAAGATGTTATAATTAAAAATTTAACATCAAAAATTCAATTAGAAGTACCAACTAAAATCAGATCAAGCAAATCCTATTTATTTGTTCAAGACATTGGAACAAACATTATTACTGTTTTTAACACTTCATTTAAAGCAATTAAAGCTATTAACAGTAAAAATGTTGTTGATTTTTGTGTTATTAATGACAATCAATTTGCAATACTCACTTCTAAATCAATTAAAATCATAAGATTCGCTGAACATACACTAACGGCTGAATATAAAATACCACTTAAAATCAACCATCAACCAATTTTATTGAAAAGAATTGAGTTTGTAAGAAACTTACATGAGCAATATATTGTTGGGCTTTCTCAAGATATGATAACAACCTACAAAATACCAGTTGATTTAATTTAACAATACAACAAATAACTTTTTTTTAGGTTTAAAATTTTTTTATTGTTTTGTTTTTATGTTTCTCTTTTTTTTTCCATATTCGTTAGAAATTATTTATGATTTTTTGTTATTTATCTCTTATTTTCATTGTTTTTCACATTTTCTCTTCTTCATCTCATATATTTTTTTAATTCTTTTAAAATTTTCATCAGTATCATTATTTTATATATTGTTTGTTCTACATTATTTTGAATTGATTGTATTATTATTTTTTTCATACGTTATTATTATATTGAAAATAAAATGAATTTTAATATTATCGTTAATATATTAAATTTGATATAAGTATATATTATAAATATTTGAAAATCATAAGAAATAAGTTAAGAGCATGCATTTAAATGAAAAATAATATAAACATAAATAAAATAGAATAAAATGATTATCATTAGCTTTTTATTTTATTTAATTTTCTTTGTATTATCATATTAATAATATCTTTAGTTGTATTTTAATGTAGTGATATAATTATTTAAAATAGAAATAATAAAAATAACATGAGGAATAGAATAATAAAATTCAATTAAATATATTTTGAATTGTTTATATGTTTCATTTCAACAAAGAAACTTATGAGCTGTTGTATTTTTATAAGTAAATAAAATAATAATATGTTTTATATTATTTAAATACAATAATAATACTATAAATATGACAACTAAAAAACAAATAATAGAAAAAAGAAGAGAAA